CCAGCACCAAAGAACAAATATTCTATAATTCCATTTGTATGAGGTATCTTGAATAAGCAAATTAATAGAGAGAAAAAATAGAATACAAGAAGTTACCAGGAACGGTGGGGTGGGGGGTGGGGAAGGGGAATGGGGAATTGTCACTGAAAGGTTACAGACTTTCTGTTTGGGGTGATGAAAAAGTTTTGGAAATGGATAGGGGTGATGGTTACACAACACTGTGAATGTAATTAATTCTATTCAATTTGTAAACTTAAAAATGGTTGAAATGTAAACTACATGTTATATATATTTTACCATAAAAAAACTTTTTAAAAACATATCTAGAATCACAGAGGACATGTGAGGGGGACAAGGGTACATTGAAAGGTGCATGCATTTGCAAATTACTTATTCTTTCATTACAGTGTTCAGTTAACAAGACTGTCTATTTAGTCATCCCGTTTGATCATATTAGAGGGACAAGGCAGGTACTGGTAGCTCTGCTTATTTAAATTGATCAAACCCCTGAGGACCTGCGGGTTTGCAGTCAAAAATAGACCTTAGGTCTCTTAACTCTTCCTCAAGTAAGAATAAATAAGCCACAGACAGATGTGTTCCTGATGTTTTCAGACTGGAACAGTTGGAGGAGACCATTTAATAAGGGAGACCTATGTCTAAGGTACAATAAATTAGGACACATGGAACAGCCTATGTGGCTGAAGGAAGTGGTGACTCATGAAGACATCAGAGGAAAAGGAAGAGGCCGTCAGCACTTAAACACATTTTGAAAGGTGAAATCAAAAATAAATACACAGCCATACAAATACAACCTGTACTTTCCAAGCATCTGGCCAGACAGAGAATGGCTAAGCTATGACTTCCCACCCTTTAAATATATTTGCCTCAGGCTATAATTGTTGCACTTATATAGACCTCACTCTTTTCTTCTGCCTTCAAGGCTGCTCTTTTGAACTGTAGACCACTGGGATGTTCAAGAAAATATGTACTATCCACTGAATCATTCCTTTATGCAATTGCCAAACTCAGGTGAGAAAATACTTAATACGGTTTGGCCTGGGGGTAATAAGGAAGAATTATTTCAAAAACAGGTATTTTTTACTCATGAGCTAAGTTTATTTTTGAGGAGCCCAATAACCCACTTTTCTTGTCTGAGGTGAGAAGTATTGGATGCCTCACTCTTTCCTTCCTGTATTGAAAGTTTTTAGTCCCTCTCTCATAACCACTATACCCCAGCCCATTGCAAAATGCCTGGCTCTTAACCAAGACTCCAGTACTGCTGGTGGAATTACACTGTTGAATTACCATTTCATCTTGCTTAGAACAAAAATGCACTTTTTTACATTAGTTGGACTTCAAAAACTGTAAGCAGCTGTTCTATGACAACCACTAACGAAATAGGTGAGCTTATCTCCATGCTCAAATACAATCTAGCTAAGAAATTTTAATAATTTCTTTAATAATCTGTAATGTTTAAGAGTAGTACCCGAAGAATTAATGCCAGGGCCCACATTACATATCCATGCTGGCTGAGTAGGACTATGCCAGTGAAATCTTCCATAATCACACAGCATACCAGAAGCCTAAATCAAATATCCCCCAAATGTAAAAAACGGAACTGAGCCCCTGTTTGACTAAAACTACGTTGAACATCAACCACCAAATTACTGTATTCACCAGTTCTAGTTCTAAATATTTTGGAGCTGCCAAGAACACTGTAATAATAATAAAACTTTAACTTTACATGCCAATAAAACTTTACACTTTCTAAAACATTTTTATATTTAATTTATTAAATATATCAGAGCAATGGCTCTCAACTGAGAATGATTTTGCTCCCCTCATAGGACTTTTGGCAAGATCTGGAGACATTTTGGTTGTCACAAGTCAGGGGAGAAGGGATGGTGGCATGCTATTGACATCTAGTGGGTAGAGACCAGGGATGATGCCAGACATCCTACAATGCACAGGACAAAGAATCATATGGCCCAAAAGGTTAATAGGGCCAAGGTTGAGAACTCCTGTATTAGAATAACAACTACACGCAAGGTATACGTTGTGCTGAATGTTGAAGACAGGAAGATAAATAAGAGGTGACCTCTGCTATTATGGATAGTTCTTTTAGTCATGGAAATTTGCAGATAACAGTGACAACAGGCTGAGATAAGTGCTCTGACAGGGGTGTGTACAAAAGGCTACTAAGAGCAGAAGCAGCAACTACTTCAACCAGGAGGTCAGGGTACTTCACCAGCAGTGACTTTATAGTTGGAATGTGAAAGATGATTTCATCAGGTAGAAAAGAGCAGTGCATTCTAGCCAGGAAAAATCACATATGCAAAAACAAGCAAGTTTCAAACTGAATAACTCCAGGGTCACCAGCTTTGTGTGTGGAGGCTACCAAAGCCAGAGATTAACAAAGTGCATCTCTCTGGAAAGCCAATCTCATGTGGACAAAAGGAGATTGATGATTTAACAGGTGATTTTTATGGCATTAGAAATATATATTGAAGCATGGGTATATGGAATAGAATATAAACTCTGCACGAATTTTTAAGATAACACAGAAGGTTGCTGTAAGCTTCATAATGCTATACTACTTAGGTTGCTCCAACTCTCAGGGATATTTTGGTAAAGTGTGAGCAATGGCAAATGTTCCAAAATAATTAATTCCATATGTGTGAGGCACAGGTTGGGTGTAGGAAGAAGGAGGAAGGTGGTTCTGGTGGGATACAAGGCTGAACAGCATCATCGCAGTGGTTCTTACAGGCTATGCTATGCAGTTTGTACTTCCTATCAGCTGGGACAGAACAGTCACTGGGGCTTATAGACAAGGAAATGGCACAATATTAATGTTAGAGAATCAGGCAGGAGGAGAAAAAGTCATGAGGCAGGAATATTTCAGATGAGAAGTGATGAAAGTATGTACGAGAGGGAGGAAGATTTTAGATACAGAAGTGGTGGAATCCATAGGATAAAGCAGGAGAGTGAAGAAGAATGAACTTTTTAGGTTGAGCAACTAGGTGGGTAAGCAATGAGAATGGCAATGGAGGGCAGAGGATGGGGAGAAAGACATTTTCACAGTAGAGATAAAGATGATCTCATCTGAACCTCAAGACAACACTGCAAATTATGTAAAATATGCTATCAGATACAATCGTGCCCAGTTTACAGATGAGCTGAACGAAGCTCTGAGAAGCAGACTGATCTGCCCAGGACCACACACTCAGCATAAAGGAACTGAGATTAGAGCTCCAGGATCTTGGCTCCTGGTCTGGATATCTTCCACTCATGCTCAATCTCGTGTCACATTTATAGTTATAACCAAACCTGACACTCATTGTTAATCAGTTTGGACCAAATTTCTATAGAATCCAAAAGCCTCGGATAAAATTCTACATTGGCAATGCCAAGTTAGAGGCTTGTCCACTTCTAGGCAAAGTCTATTTTAACTTCCATGTGAATCTAAGAGACAATTAACTGTGAATAATCATTAAATTAAAGAAAAAACATTAAAAGTTTTTCCTTACTTTTTCTTTATTCGGTCCTTGTGTATTACCAGAATAATTAAAAATATTCATTTATATAGCTTCATAAGCAATCTCTTTAGAATAAATTAAAATTCTAGCGACAAGACTTTAGCACCCTACATACATACCTACAGTTAAGTTTTAAAGCAGCCTGCATGAAAAGCCCCAAACACAAGACCAGGCACATATCTGATGTTCAAAACACAGTGTATCTTTCTATCCAGCTGCCTACTACATGGGGACAGGCCTTCTTGATTTTGGGGAAGCAAAAATATCAATAGCATGCGTTGCCTCAGAGAATCCAAATTCCAAAATACACACACAAAAAATATTCAGTTCACACCAACAATATCATGTCTCACTAATAATGGCTGATACTGTCTATGGAGCATCACTGCAAACATTTTATATGGTTTATCTCACTGTTAATCCTCTTTATATGACTGTAAACCAATACTTACCCCAGTTTTACCTACAAAAAAACAGGCTTATAAAGGTAAGGTTGTCAATCAGGACATGAATTCAGGTCTACCTGATTCTAGTATACACACTCTTAACCACTAGCCTTCCTATTCCCAGACACTGTACTACCCTGGAACACAGATCATGGAACATCAAGTTTCTATGGTTCGCATCATCTTGAGCAGCAGTCCTAAACCACCGTGGGCAAAATATCTCATGATTAGAAACAGTGGGGTCCTAGCCCATGAACACAAGTAGAAAAGGCAGCCTTTTCCTCCACTCTTCCTTCCTTTGATCCTCCCAATCTCTTATTTTCATGGCTTGTTTTAGTGTATGATAAGTTCATTAAAAATAAAGTACCACCTTTTCTCATGATGCATTTTTGTGTGGTAAATTTACTACAAAACCTCTATAAATATACATAATGTAAAGATCATCTCTCTCCACCAGACTGGGAAAGGGCTCAATGAATCATGCAAAGATGGGGTTAGCATGGCTGACCCATCCCACCGACCAAGGAAAGCAACCATTTGGAGCATCAACTTTGGAAGGAGAGGTCTGGAGCAGTCTCGATCTGCCACTTAACCAGCTGAGTAGCTTAGGCATGGAATTTAAGTGAATCTCTGAGCCCTGATTTCTTGATGTATAAAATGGAGACACTGATATCTAACTGATGATATATGTGAGAAGTTAATGCTTGTGTATGTAAAATGTTTTAATACATCCCCATTACATCAAAGCTCTGAATAAGTGATAACTTCTCCTCTACAACAAAAAGTGTCATAATTTCTGTATTTTCTCTACCTCAAATGCAGTGTGAAAATGCAAGAATACTTCAAACAGCTCATGGAAAGATTCGTTTTATCTTTTAATTCTATTTTTCCACAAACTTTTTGAAGTGCCCTCATAAAAGACACAGAAGATAGCTCTCTGAGCAACAGTTCCCCATCTACTAGATAGTCCACCAGTAGCTTTCTCTGTTTCCCAGGAACCCCTCATGGAGATGCTGACCTGGGAGAGAGGGCATTCTTTGGCTAATGTGCTCTGGTTCATCTCTTTGAGCAGTTCCTTTAAGGCATTGCGGACTGTGGCATGGTTCCACTGCTCCGCAGGCAAGTCTTCCAACTTCGAACAACTGCAAAATAGAGCAAGAATGAATGACACACAAAACTCAAGTAGTAAAGGCCCCTGACTGTAGAGGATGCGAACGTAGCAGTCACTCTGGGGTCCTGTGCCAGCCACAGGAGAACTTTAATAGGGATCTAACATTCCCATCCCCAAGAACGGGGTCTAAGGTGCGCCATAAAAGGGAAGGGGAGTAACACTGCCTCTCCAGGACCTTGATAGAGCCCAACAGGGTACCTGTAAGTTAGTTACAACACTAGCCTAAGAAAAACAGTCATTTCTGATATGAAGAAATGCTATTTTTTAAAATAATGTTTTTTCAATGTGTTGATAGAAATTGCATGGCAGTGTGATTATAAACTTACCCAATACAAATTTAATTATTGGACATTCCTAAGGTTAAAAGTAAACAAATGCTCCATCAGATTTGAAGTTTGAAGACCCACCTTTCACCTTCACAGAATAATTCGAAGATGTTACTTTTCTAATAAAAAAAAAAACTTTTAAGATAAGACACTCAAGCATTACTAGACAAGGATGGGGATGTTGGATCCCTATTGAAGAAGAAATTCTCCAAAAGGAGAAAATTCAAAACTCTGACTCTAAAAGACAACATTCCTTAAATCACAACTAGCAGGCACTTTATAATAAAAAACTGCAAAGAACCTCTAGATTCCTTAGAGACATAATTTGTTCTTGATGCCATATCTGAAAAAAAAAAAAAAATTTCCCCAGTATCTTCACAGGCCATAAGCACATTTCTTTGAGGAAGCCACCAGGGAAGGAAGGAAAAAAAGATTTTTAGTGCCAGCACACTCCTGGTAAACTTGCAACAAGAACAAAACTCTTCCCTCACAACACAAACCCAAAAACAGCAGAGGTGTTTATTCTTCAAATACTATGTGCTAAGAATTTAACCAGGCCTAGAGGACCACTGAATGAGGGGCTGTGGAAAGTTCCCCCTGAAGGGCTGCAGATTTTTAATGATTTATCAAGCTGCTCCTTGCTTACCACTTCACTGCTTCTGAAAACAAAACATAAAACAGTTGGAATGTGGACTATAAAGATGCCTGGCGAAGTTTCCTTCCATTCCTCCTCTCTCTCCTTTTTTTCATTTCATCCAATGTCTAGATATTACTTAAGAAAGGACATGTGAATCTCTGCAGTCAATCGACAGAGCAGCTCTAAGGGTAAGGAAAGGAAAATGTTCAGAAACACCTACCTTTGTAATTGGATTTTCAACGTCACAACATGATAGACATCTTGTAGCATGTCGGCCACTGTCGCATCGGGTGCATCTGTCACATAACTGAGGGGGAGAGGGTTCCACCTCCCCAGCTTGATTATTCCTGCACAGGGAAGAAAAACATAATAAACACATACCTGCCATTTATTAAACCCTCCCATTGTTTGTTCAATGTTAAGAATGTCATTCAGTCGTCAACATTCAAGGCCCACTTAGAGATATTTTACAACCCAGTGCAATAAGCTATTTTTTTCTGCCTGACAATTGAGTTAGTTAAATATACAGGAAGATGGGAATGAAAAGATGAGGTTTAATCATAGACAATCGGTTCTTTTATGTTTTCCTGTTTCTTAAATTACTTAGAAAACCATACGGATACTTCCTTCCCCCAAAGTCTTGTTTCACATTCTAACTTAAGACTGATGCTAAATATACAGGATTGCTGATTTCATAGACCAAAAAAAAAAAAAAAAAAAAGAAAGCCTTAAGTAAATACAAGATTCAGTTTTGAATTGTACAAGAAAATTCCTGTGTGTGGGCTCAGCACGCAGTTACATCCTGACTGTGGTGTGATTCCCAGTGCAAATAGCATTTAGAGCTGATGAAGCAGTTAAGAGTTCACTTCCAGATCCGAGTTTCACCAGGCAGAGGGGTTGCTTTCCTGAGCCAAAGGCAATAGCACAATGATTGACCACAGATCAGAAATAGCAAAGATGCCCTCAACTTCCTTTCTTTTATTTAATCTTCAGCTCTTTTTAGACTGACAATGGGACTCTTTCGCTGTGGGTTTCCTGCTGTATGTGGTAAACAGGCACGACAATGGTACGAGAGTAAAAATCCTGGTCAAAGTTGGGCTACAGAGCAGTTTTCTTAGGAATACCCTTGTTACAGGACAGAATGGCTTTGGCAACATACGGTGGAAATGCTAACTTATTCATAAGATGTGCCCATCTTATCCGGTACATAGGGCACACATAACATTGATGAAGGAAACTAGAGAAACCCATTTTACCAACAACACAGGGTAACAAAAATTTTATTTGTATGCTGTGAAAAATTCAATGGTCCTGGATGTCAGAAATTATCACGCATAAAAAACAGTTATGTTTTAGAGATAAAAGAAAAACAGCATTTTTATTTTTATTTTTGACAATACAGGTAAGTATAACTACAATGCTCTTTAAAAAAATATTTTCTATCATCAAAGAGAGAGAACACCTGTATACCCAAGTGAACTTTTAAAAGCTTCACAAAATGATGCTTTATAGCTATGGGGCAAAATTCCAACAATAGGAAATGAACTTTCTGGTCAGGGCATGTTCTGTCCAAGATGAAATAAATGAATGCGCAATGCTTGACATAATGCTTGAAAACAGGGAATAAACAGAACAAAAATATTAAAATGATGCACTGTTTCAGTATTAAGATTTAACAATCTGGTGCTGAATATGCTGCAGTATAAATAGTGCCTGGACTCAGATCCAATAAAGTAACACAGCTCTCATTCATAGTACCGTATGTCTCTAGTTCTGGCTCCTTAAGTCATATTTCACTTGCCAAGAAAAGCTGTTTTCTTGTGGGGATAGTTTTCTTAACATTCTCTCTCATGACAATGAGAAGTGCACAGCACACAGCATGTAGTAGTCATGAAATGAACATCCAGGGCCCACTGGACAGCCACCTACAAGAGGGTGGGTCTGCTTCCTTGGTTCTTTTACTCCTGATATTTGCAAATACTAAGAAGATACCATGTAACATGTCTAACATATTTCCTTTTTTTAAACAACAAAATCATCCCACAATTCCAAATTCCTTTAAAAAATCATTATCATGATAGCCATAAGTTGAGTATAAATCAACCATGTTCTATACACACAGGTTTTTTTAATAAGAGAACAGAGGAGAAAAATGAAGTCAACAATTGTGCACTATGATAGGCAAGTAGAAAAAGCAGATTTTGGGGGTCATTTTGGTTACTAGGAATATAAAGGTAATATGAAGAAAATGAACCCTGCAAACTTCAAAGCATGATTCTACAGGAGGTTCATCCATGTAGTTATGTGTGTCAGTAGTAAATTCCTTTTTACTGTTGAGGAGTCTTCCATTGTAAGAATACAGGACAATGCAGCCAGACATGACAGAATGTTATCTGTATGATCTCGTTTATATGAAAAAAAAAGAACAGGCAAGACTAATCTATGTAGATAGAAGTAAGAGGAACGGGACGGGGAGCAGACTGGAAAGGGACATAAGAGAAATTTCTTGTTTTGGCTGGTGGTTGCATGGGTATAAAAACATCAAAATTCATCAAACTGAATACTTAATATGCATACATTTTATTGTATGTAAATTAACCTCAATTTTTAAAAATGGAGGGGGAGGAATCTCTACAGGAAATAATAGACAAATCATTATATTGGAAATAGTCTCCATTTAGGTAAATTCTCTCTCCACCTACAATGGCCAGAAGGAGACTTGTTTGGGCTGGAATTAGGCACACACAGGTGTTTCACAACACTTAATACCTTCACACAGAGCAGCTGCTACAGGTTGGTTTCTACATCTTGGAAGAGAGCTGTCAAAACGTGCTATTTTCTCAGGCAGTGGGAGGTGGTGTATGCTTTTCCTATTCACACCATATTGACTAACCTGCACAGTCCTAGGAGTCATGTTTTATGTTCAACTATCTACCAGGGTCTGCAGGAGCAAGATCTGCTGGGAGAGCCCTGTCCAGAAGGCTGCTCTCCTCCAGCAAGGCAGGGGCTTGGAATAACTCTTTTTAATAAGCTTTGCCTCCAAACAGGTTCTCTGTCTAATGTATTAAACCTCTTTGAAATACATTCCTTAGACAGTCCTCCTTCCCTGATATAAAATAGACAAAAATATTGCTTGGAATACTAGTCAAGTGTTAATTAAGGAAATCAAATTGGGAACCAGTATACCAAAGTGACTAAGAATGCAGGCTTTCAAGTCAAATTACCTCTGTTTACATCACGGCTCTGCCACCTACTAATGATGTAACCCTAGCAAGTCACTTAATTTCTCCACACCTCAATCCTCTCATCTGTAAAATGGAACAACAAAAGCAATAACCTTAAAGAAATATTGTAAAGGTTAAATGTAAAAGCCTTAGTACAGAGCCTGGATATAATTTGATTTCAACAATTGTTTAGTCATTATTTAGACCTTTTTAATGCTTCTTAAAGAGAAGATATAATCAATTGATTTAAAAAAATATTAACAAGAATTTTTTATGGCTTCATTACCTTTTGATCTTTAATTTGGTCATGTGTGCCTGTAAAAGGCACGCATTTATTTTAAATAACAAAGGAGGACTGTGCATCAGTGATATTCCGCTTTCTATTCCCACATCTCCCATTCATTTCTTCTATCCTTATTCCTCAGTGGCTCCTTTCCTTTTGCCTAAGTAGGTTCAGATCTCCTTACTTTAAAACAAATGGAAACACTACGAGAGTATCTATATTCCCTCAGTCTCTTTTTGCCCCACCAAACCTACTATAAGTACACCTCCGATCTCCATCAGTCCTTTACCCATGGATATCTAGCTCCAACTTCTTTCATGAGAAAATGTAGGTTCAGAGGGGTTGGGATACCTTAAATAGCCAAGATAACATCACTTGCAAGTAGCAGAACTAAGACCACACTCTCAGTCTTTTTATTATCCTATAAGTCACACTGGCTCACACTTTTCTTCAACACCAGAAGAAAAGACTGGAAAGGAGCTTGGTTCCAAGTTTTGGAAGGCCTTAAATGACTGACTCAGTAGCACACTGTATGGGTCAGAAGTTAGGAGTAAGGTCTGGAGTCAGAGGTAAATTTATATCCAGCCTCCTGTTTGTCAGCTGTGAGACTCTGGGCAAGTTGTTTAGTCTCTCCAAGTGTGACGTTCTTTATCTGTAAAATTGGGATAATAACAATACCTCCTTAAGGTTATCATGAAGATTTTAGTAAGAATGAGAACTTATCACTGGGATCGTCACATAAGTGCTCAATAAAAGTTAGGGGAAAATCCATCCTTGTGAGTTTCTGAGCATAGACATAACACCAAAGCAGTTTTAGGAAATTAACCTATATTGGAATGTGGATGGATTAAAAGAGGAAAGCATTCTGAGGGGAGAAAAAAGAACTGAAATAATCCAGGTAGGTATATCTAATTACAACCATACAGCCTCTTCCTGGCTCCTAAGGAGGGATGCAGACCTCACCAAACACTACAGTGAAATGAAGGAAGACGAAGAAAGAAAAGATCACATGCCTGTTAAAGATAATATCACAGCATTGGAGAAATCTCAATAATAATGGCATAACTTAAGTATATAGATATTTTTTCCAACACTCACACTCTGTGAGGAGGTTTTGTAACCCCAATCTGAAAAATTAGAAAAACTAATGATTAAATTAAATAATATTAGACACACACACGCACATACAATTACACACACACCGAGTCCTGCTAGGCACACAGTAGATGCTCAATACATGACAATTCCCATTTCTTCTCTGAGCATATATGACACTCTCACTCTGTCTGAAGTACTGATCCCCAATATTTACTTCTAGAAATCTTACACATTTTTCAAATTCTTCCCTGGGAATTATTACAACTCTGATCAACCCACCTGAAGTAATCTTTTCTCTGCCCAGCTGCACAATTAATATTCTTGGTTGGTTTGTGTATCTTATAAAGAACTTACTTTATCACAATATCCCTTTATGTTACTTTACAGTTTGCAGAATTTTTTTTACAACCATTAGTTCATCCTCATGAAGACAGCAGGGAGTCAGCACTCTACCTGGGAGTGAGCTAAAAATCAAGGGAGAGTGACTTTTCAAGGACATCAGTGGGTGACAGCCAGGACTACAACGTGGACTACATTCTGAAAGTTTTGAACTACTGGCCCAATATGCTTTCTACTCCGCTCTGCTATTGCTGCCCTGAAGACATGCCCCTGTACCAGTGCCCAACCATACGATGGACCCCTGGAGAGCAGGGCCATAGCTCATCCATAGTCACACATCAGGCAGGCTCTTGATATTTAATGTAAGACGAAGGAACAAATGAGACCAACGAGCAAACTGGTG